CCCCAAAACCCCAAAACCCCAAAACCCCATTATTCAATAATTAATATAAAAGTGTTAAAATTAAAAAATCATAAATTTTAAATCTAATTTGGCTAGACATAATATCTTAATAAGATATTCATAATTCTGATAAAGTTTTTGCATACATCTCAAAATCACCATAACTTTGTTAAACCATGCTCTCTCTTTGTTAGCATTATCCAGAAAATCTCTACATGAAATTTAATTAGAAGCTTTTAACTTAACCAGGAACCATTGTAGGTATAAAGAGTATGAGTCGACCAGAATTAGGATCTATTAGAAGATTGTTAATATCCCCATTATCAATCAACTTTTTAACAGTCTTTTTATCAAATTCTAAGCATGAAGGGACATCAAGATTTAAACTAATCTCTCCACTTAAGGTTGATCCTCTTGGAAAAATGTTTTAAAATTATACCTAAATAGGGAACATATTTCCAGTTTAATTTTCTAAACCTAGATTTTTCTAGTTTTTCATAATAACCTAGAAATCTGAAGTGAGATTTGCAGGCTGAGCAGGAACATAACTCTAATTAGCCAAGTATCTGTGTGAAATTGAAAGGATAGCCCTAAAATCTTTTGATTGACCTGAACTCAAGTTAAATCCATCTATTCCCACATTAAAGTTCAGAGTTGAGCCTGGAGCAAATATTCTTGAATTATTAATGATGTAATCAGAGATATTAAAGGTTATTGCCTCTTACACCCCTGATTAAAATTGCTTTGTCTAAATTAGTAAATCATTTAGTTTAAGAGTAAAGCTTCCATTGCCATTTATAGTGGGTAAACCACTATTCTAAAAGTAATTTTTAAAAGCCTTTAATCCAGTATATGTTCCTTATGACCCACCAATGATTCCTTTATCAATTTAAGAGGCTAAATAGCTAATTGCATTTACAGTATAGATAGAGTATTTTGTCAAGTCATTATTCCAAACTTAAGTCGCTAATGCTGTGGTCTCAATATCTAATTATTTTCCGCTAGATAAAAACACAGACATGGAGTTAGTTCGATTTGAGACTACTCTTCCATCCTTTTAGGTCAATCTTGTGAGAGCATCGGCATAAATTGTTGCTTCTGCAGTTCTCTTTAACCTGTATAAAGACTAGGCAATTAAAGTAAGAATGTAAGCATCAGATTTGTTAGCTTTTAATTGGCTATCTGCAAAGGTTTTAAGGGTATTAATTTCTGTGGTAAGGTTAATCGAAGAGTTATGATATATCAAAGCATTCACAATGTAAGCGTTGAGAGTCATTTCAGGTACAGATTAAACTAGAGGATTTGAAAATGACTAGATGAATCCACCTCTTCCATTTCTTCTAGAATTAAGATACCCTGCTAGTTAGTTAATAATGGTCTTATCAACTGATATGATAGTACTTATGTCAATGAAGAATTAAAGAGCAAACGCAGTTATTGCTTCATTAGAGAGATCATTTCCATTGAATCTTAGGTTTTATCCGATCTAAATCTTTTATGTCAGTAAAATTTCTATTTAACTCTCCAGTTTCTTTTAGATTTAGAATTGAATAACTTGTTGATTATTAGTTTTTATTATTAAGCCTTTTAAAAAATCAAGCTTCAAAGCTAATGGATAAAAAGATGAAGCAACTTGCTCAAAGTTTCCAGTTTTAAGTTAACTAATAGATTTGATTGAGTCATCAAGCATTGATATGAAGGTAGGATATATGCTTATGTAATATTTCGAAGAATTCTGAATGAGGTCATTGGTAAGACTAATTTATAGGTTTATGTTAGATGGTCCTATTGATCTTGCACTAGATCCTATAATTGATCCTCTTGTTTAATATTGCTTATCATATGTTTTATCTTCTATTGATATTTAAACTGAATCATTAGTCATAAGAATTCTATTGCCCAGAGTTGCATTTGCTATTAAAGTTAATGTAGAGTTTGGATTCACTTATAGAGCTGTAGCTGTAATAAAAGTTCTTAAAGTTTAACCTGCCAAGACACTTTACATAGGAAGACTGCTCAGCTTGAAATCCAACTGAGACTTAGATAGGTCTTAGAAGACAGATACTTAAATTGCAGCAGTGTTAAGGTTAGTAATATTAATTGGTATCTTAACTGAATCTCCGATTGCCATAAATTCAGGTCCACTTATTTTTATTTGAAAGTTTTCAATGGTTTTAATTTACAAGTAATTGTAACCAATAACACCATTTGAATTGAAAGCATCTGCAGTGAGAAAGTAGTTTGTTATATTATCATTTAAGTAAAACTTTCCAGAAGTAACTCCATTCTTGACTGTAATAACTGACTGAAATAACACTGTTTGTGTAAGATCTTCTATTCCTAGCGCAGAAGTAAAATTAGCTCTAAGAGGATGAGACCAAGATCTGGGATTAGTTACTGCTTGCATATAGTCTAATGGATTCACGAAATATCCTTAATCACCTGATCTTGTGCTAGATAAATGCTCATATTATCCTTTAGTCTCAGAATAAAAAGCTTTGAAGACATAATTATATAAGCCCTGGATAGCTTGAGTCTCATAAGGTGAGAGATTCTTAAGTTTTGATGAGAGGGTAGCAAGATTTTATACATTGAATAAGCCTATTCTCCATTATTAGACTCCAAACAACAGGTCTAAGGATATTGTTTCATTTTAGTTAGGAAGGAAAGCTTAATCAAAATCTCTTTGCCTAAATAACTTCTCGTTCTCAAAATTGAGTATTTCTTGAGAAAAATATAATCTAGATTGATAGGATTTTGGGAGTATCATTTCTTTTGATTTCGTTTATAAGCCAGAAATATCTACTGCTGTTAAGGATAGATATGAATCAGTTGTAATAACTTTACCAGTTGTAGAGTTAAGGACTTTTATAGAATAAGATACTGAATCCCCTGGGCTGTACTAAGTCTTATCTGTTGTGATATTGATTGTTAGTCTATCATTGGGTCTCTTAAAGAAAATAAGTTCGCCTTTGGGTTCAAACCAAGTTGTCATATTAGAAATAGTCACATTACTAGATACGGTTTCAGATACTGATTTGTTTCGGTAAAAATTTTTAAACGCCACTGTTAGCTTTTAGATACTTAAGCTTAATATTCCACCATTGATCAATGGAAACAATCTTCCTTAGACAGTGAAATTTTAGTTTGCTGATGGATTAAGTGTTATTTATTCTTGGTAAAGTATTTACTCTTTAAGTTTTATTTACATTAGATAGTCATCACTCTTATTAACCTTTTCATTAGTCATTAGCTATACTTAGAGGTTTTCATTATTGTTAAGCACTCTATTTATGTTCAATATTTTAAAAGATAACTCAGCTCTATTGTTATTCTAGTTAAAGGTGTTGTTAAAATATAGATTTCTTCTAATCAGTTGCCCCTAATTGCTTATCTCAACAATGAGAGCAGTCTAGTTTAACACTGGAACATATGTAAACTGACCTCTTCCAAATTATTAACTTGAAACTAGTCCTAATGATATTTCTGTATTATTAATAAAGCGTTGTTTAAGTTCGGCATTTTAAAAGTCAAATGTCTAACTTCTTTTACTCGATTGCCACGCCTAGAAATAAACAACATTCTGGATATTGAAAGCTAGATAGCCAGTTGAAAGGTAGGCATCTATGACCATTAGCTCTGGGTTGATTATCTAGAGACTTTAAGAATAGGAATAAGTAAAATTATCAGCACTTAATTTGTAAGTGATTATAGCTTTTGTAGTATTCAAATATTTTGGTACCGTAAAGGTTATCACACCTTACTTGGAAATTTATGAAAGCCCAATCGAGGTATTTAAACTTGATGAGTTTTAAAAGGAAACAACATAAAATAGCGATATATTTGAATTCAGCAGAGTTTTATCTAAAAGTTTCACTGTTACTAGCCCAGTGACAGTGCTACCTGGCTAATATGAATTTTATAAGATTTAAGTTGAAATCGTGGCTCTATCTTTTGGTAAGTTTTATACTGTAAAATTCATAGTAGACATGGCAACTTTTGAATTATAAGCCATTACCAAGTAGGATCCATCTTCTAACGTTGAAGGCAATTTGAATGATAGCACCACAGTTGAAGTATTTGCTTATACAAATTTGCTATAAACTCTAAAATCAGAGGAGTTTTTTATTTCAATCGACAAATTATAGTACTGATACCTAGGATCTTTAGGGTTCAGCGGCTAAATAGCTACGGGTGTCTTGTTAAGCGAATTAAATAACAAGACTTCAATGAAGACAACATCATTTGGAAGATACATTTGTTTATCCAATCTAATACTAGAATGGATTCTTGGACTACTTATTGGTAGCAATTGATTCGTAACATTACTTATTTGATTTGAAAGCCATGTGATATTATAAGTGATATTACCTCCAAGTAGTGGATGTTGCTTTTAATCTAGATTCTCTAGAACTGGGTTCTAAGGAGTACTCTAGATTTAAAGATAGGTGCCAGTTCCAAAATGCTTTTCTTGAAGAAAAGAAGATTAAACAATATTGTAATGCAAGATTAAAAAGTATAGAAAGGTAGGTTTGAGAGACAAGCAAAAGAGATTTGCAAGTTGGCTATTTATGAAACATGATACTGCTGAAATTTAAGTATCTGTCTTCTAAGACCTATCTAAGTCTCAGTTGGA